GCTCTTTCAATTTCTTCTCCCTCACCTCCTCGTGCGTTTTATCCCCTTCCATCAATATTTATAAGCCCCCGCTGTAACAATAAGCGCTGATGGTGTATGGGGAGCGGGGGGCCATTTGCAGATGTGTCTCAGCTTTGTTTCTTTCCACGTGCAGCGAATAAGTGTTTGACATTGAAAACATCCTCCTATTAAAGCAGGCAGACACAGCTAAGAGTTCCCTCAAGGGTTATGGCTCATCAGCAGCTGTGCGTGAGGAATGCGTACATGTGCCTCGTGCATAATTTTCTTCGTCTCCAGCTGTTTCTGCGAGCGCGACGTCCATGTGACAAACGACTTGCATGAGTGTCTTCTCCCCGCTCCCGTTAATCACGAGCCCTCAGCGTCGTGTGAGTTATGCACTCCGATAACAAGTGTCCCCGCGTTTGTCGGCCGGAGCTATGTGGAAATAACTGGTAGAGGGAAACGGAGGCTGGATGCCACTGGGAGGTTTTGGGGGTCATAAACGTTAAACTCAGGTGTGCTTGATTAACTACAGCTGTCAGCGAGGGCGGAAGGTCACATCCCTCCAGTCCTCCTGCATGACAGGCAGACACCAGACGCTTTGCAAGCTGACATCCGCCTCCTCGTCCCCCCCTGGGTTTTCCACTTTCTCCAGACAGCGTAGGGACTTGGTTGATGTAGGGGTCAAACAGGAGCTCTCTGTGATGTCGAGTGCTCAGGCTGCACAGTGTTCTGCTGGATTAGCCTTAGAGGTGCGAGTATGTACCAAAGTCTATCCTTGTTATGTCATCGGGATGAGTCGAGGGGTATTTGAAACGAGATCACATCTTATTTCATTGTGTAATTTGCTTTGTTTGTATGTTTATTCTTTTAAAACTGTAGACACTTGTGTTTAAAAAGGTGGTTTGAATATAAGAACAACTAGGCTGCTTTATTATATCGAATATATTTACTTTTAACTGGGAAATCTGGGAAATCGGATGCACGTGAATGCATATATATGATAATGTGAAAGCCTGTTTTCATTCTTTATGCAAATCTTATATAATACATACAATTATGCAATGGCTGGTAGGCATTTTCATTTTTCAGCCAATGTGGGGGTCATAAACATTCAAAGATAAAATGAATGAAAATGGAGCATTTTGATTCTGTGGTCAATAATTTATTATGGCCCACGCAATGTGGAGCGGGGCCACATTGTTTTTGTAATATATTTCCAAAGCTTGGTGGGTTGATTTTATGTACAAATATTTTCAGAACAGCTGATCCAAAGTGTTGCATTCTGATTTAATTTGACTACACAAATAAAGATTGTATATTTTTCAGAATACTAGGGTTGTGTCTAAATTCAGGGGTTGAAGCCGATGTAGGCCGAGCCCCACGTAGAATTTGTGTTTAACTCCAGTATCAGTACTTGTAATTGCATGTTGAACATTTCAATGCAGCATAAATTTCATCAGCTATAAGTAAACAAACGTTTAAAAAGAAATTATTTGGTCCGCGTGAAACCAACAGGACAATTTACCTTCATAAACATAAATAACCAGTGATTATTCTTATTCTACAGACCAAATCGGTCATTTATAAAAAGATAGAAAATATGATTTTTCATCCATATGTGGCGCCCCCAGCAGGTGGACGGCTCTTAGCATTTGCCTATGTTGCCTATGTTACAGGCCAGCCCTGATGAGAAAATTATCAACACACAAACACGGAACTAGATGAATTCCCTGGTCACAACACAATAAAAACACTGATGTTGATGTGGCCAAAAGCTCTTTCCTCGCACAAGATGTACTCACACACCCAAAGGTTAATAAGGCCACTTTGTTTGTGTGCTTGATTATTTAGGATCAGGTGGTATCAACAGGGGTCTGAAATGTGTGAAGTAAATTTGAGTTTATTATGCAAATCAGCGTAGCAACAATTGTTCTCAAGTCGCCCTGGTATGGTTACTGAATTAATTAACTGCCTCCTGGCCCTTTTGTTGTTGTGCTCTTTTACATAAAGCACAGCTTACATGGAAATGCTAATAAATAATCTTATAATACAGGGATATTTGCAACACGCGGTTMTGACGAAGCCATACAAAAAAGAAAGAAGCTTTCAAAATAGAATCRGAATCAGGTGTTTGTTGCCAGAACACAAACACAGACATTACTTCCGCTGTTTCACCTCTGTCCCTGCAGGCACCTGTTAGGGGTGAGCGAGTTAGCAAACAGCTCAAACAGGTGGCAACGTCAGTGTCACTTAGACATGAGCAGCCTCAGCTGAGCTTGTCAAGGTTTGTATTCCTCCATCTGGGACCACAAACAGCTGGACTGGGCTTTTGACCTCAACCCACTGAAACTCTTTGGGGAAGAGCGACGGCTCTTGGAGCTCTTTAACGCACTTGCTCCAGTGACATTTTGAGGCATTTTTTAGGTGCAAAGAAGATGAGAAACAAACAAAATTAATACATGTGCAGATGTCTAACAAAAATAGACATTAATGCCCGTGTCAAACTCTAGGCCTGTGGGCCAAACGTGGCCCGCCATGCCATTTTATGTGGCCCACGAGAGCTTTAAAGATTTATTAAAATCTTTAAAATCATTGTATGCTGCTTTAAAGCCAGCATTGATCATAAACTACATCTTGCATTATGCATGTCGATTATTTTACCACAGAATGACGGCATCCCACCACTAACTGAAGGTGCAGGGTTCAACAGTAGCTTGTAGCTGTCGAAATTCACCATGTACAAAAAAAATCCATTTTGCTGCATTTTCACCGATTGTTTTTGCTGTGGCCCAGTTGTTGCAAATATTTAAAAAGTTCAGAAGAGAGTTCAGAATTCAAACTGGCTTGCAGCTCAACAACAGAGAGTGAAACTCTTTTACTTTTTTAGTATTTGTTTAATTTATTTCACATTTAGTCGTGCACATAGTCATTTTCACTATTTATAAGGGTTTGTTAAAACACAGTTTCTATGTATGAAATACCACTCAGAGTTCAAGGAACATAATGTTTTTGTGTTTAGTCAAAGTTAAAGCAAAGTTGATGACAATCGATCCTTTGAGTGCGTACAAAATGCTCATGTGGCCCTCTGAGGAGAAAATGGGTTTGACACTCCTGCATGAAAAAGGTCCAAAGTTGATACTGAGAAGAACTCATTTTGCCTGTCTCTGTGTTTATCTGTAGTATTAGCAAAATAACCACTTGATGGAATTGAATGAAAATTGCAGAAAGTAATCATTTGCATCAATTCTTTGTCTTTTGTAGTTCCCCCAATTTAAAAWGGCCACCACAGCTAGCTAATTGAGATTGTGAAGAAGCGAAGGTTCAAAGCAATCTGCTGGCTTTTTAGTTATTTGACCGTTTGTAATGTTATGAAAGTGAATTGTTTTGTATGATCATTGGAAAGAATTAACTGTAATTGGGTTTGAATCTGGATCTGAAGAGGATTTATGATTGGGACTTGCTTTTTCTTTTATCAGTAATGACTTGTTGAAAATTGGTGTTATATACCCAAAGTAAAACAATTTGGATTCAAGCTTTAATTCAAAATTGTGTATTAATGGCACTGATAAAATACTTTGATTTTGACCCAGATCCTTCTCAAAAGGCATCACCTGCACTGAAAAAACAAACTTTTGGGTGTAGTAACATTTATTTAATTATTCTTTTAAATTTTACAAAAAAATATCAAAATCTAAACTACTAGAATTGACTAAATAAACAATACACATATTGTATATCAATATTACTGTATAAAAAGTAAATGCTAATATTATTTTACCAGTAATATTTAAGTGCTTTGTGTGCATGTGCACACAAAGGCTGCTGCTCCTCATTCCCTTGCTTCACTTTTCAAGAAGAGGACAAGACATGGTGGAAATAAAACATAAGTTGTCTGGTTTCTTTTGATTGAATACATTTGTTGGTGTGCAATAGTTTGATGTCATAATGTAGGTGATATTTAGTTGTCAGAGAACAGGGAATGCATATTGTAGCATTCTGCTGTGTTTGGCTGTTTGTCATGCGACTGCAGTGGAGGATTGTGGGYAGGATTCATGTTTGTGGCTGTTAAATCATTTTAGGGAATTGGTTAACATTGTTCTTTCAGCAATTAGTCTGTTGTGTTACTCTACGTTGTGTGTTCGTTAACTTGTGTTAAACCGTTCAGCAGAAGTAACCATAAGTGAGAGTGGTAGGCCTAGTCATTAATAAGACCTGTGAGTTTCACTTTGTCTGTGTTGTTCATGAAGAAGAATCCAATAAAGATTCATCAAAAACACCACCTGGTGGTGAAGTCTTGAACTACAACAAGAGCTACACCTCTCTCTGTAGCTGTGAGCTGTCATGCTGCAACATTGTGCTTGACGCATGTGCACTGTTATAAAGAACTTGTAAGATTTACTAGAAAAAATCCTCGTAACAATTTGCACCAGCGTTTAAGTAAATTTAAATGCTACAAATTCAAGTAATATTTACTCATCATTATCTAGTAAAAGTTATTGAGAATAGAGTTAAATATTTGACTAAATCAGGTAAATTTTACTTAATTTGATCAAGTATATGTTACAAGATTTAATTGAGCAAATTAAGTAAAATTTACCTGATTTATTCACAAATCTTTAACTATATTCTTAATAACTTTTACTAGATAATGATGAGAGGAAATAAAGTATTACATGAATTTGTAGCATTTAAAATTACTTAACAAACGTTAGTGCAAATTATAAGGATTTTTTCAAGTATATCTTACAAGTTATTTTTTTCAGTGTACATTTAGTTTTTAACACAGTTTTGAAGGACCTAAACAYGGCCAGTCTTGCACAAAGCGCGCTCTGAGGACGAGGCTGCAGTGGAAACAAGGAGCCAGAAGCGCCGGTTTGTTTGCTTGGAACATCCCAGCATCACCAGGTGCAGTGGAGCAAAATTCCCACTACGTGGCTACTGGGATCCGGAGGGGAGGGGAGGGAGTCGCTGTCGTTGGAGGCAGATGAAATGAGGAGAGAGAAAGTGGGCAGGCGAGGTGGCGGGATTTTAGTTGAACCCTTCATTCTGTCAGACATGCGCAAGAGCGACAGCAGCAGCAGCAGCAGCAGCTCCAGCATCACCATCACCGCCGCTGCGCCGCATTTCTGCCTTGGCTGAGCGGCTCACACCTCGGACAGGACAGGAGAGGAGAGGAGAGGGGAGGGAAGCCGAGAGCCACCGAGACGCAGTGAGTGGGGTGGAGGGGGGGAAACGCAGCGAGTAAATTCCACCCGAGCATCCTCCCTCCCTCCCCCCCTCCCCCCAGCCCAGCAGCCTCCACCTTTCTTCAAGAGGCGACCTGTGCGGCGGGCGCCAGAATGGAGACACTGCGCTAAAAGGACAGGCGGGGGGCACTAAAAATGTAAGGCTCACCGGAGGGGGATATCAGAGGAGACGAGAGCGCGTGCGCGTGCTCGTGCGCGCCAGGAAGAAAGTGGCTACTACCCCCCCACCCTCCTCCTCCTCCTCATCACCATCACCATCATCTGTCTTCTGCGGGCGATTCCGGCTCCGCGCTCTGCGGCGTGAAAATGAAGAAGTTCAACATCAGGAAGGTGCTGGACGGGCTGAAGGAGGTGTCCTCCTCCGCGCCGTCTGTCCAAGTGGGACCACAGGAGAACCACCTGGTTCAGGAGAACCTCCAGTCCGAGCATTTCCAGCTCTGCAAGGTGTGTGTGTGTGGGGGGGCATCATTAAGGATCTGTTGTGTTGTTTGCTTGTTGTGCCGCGCGCTCAGGAGAAGTGCGCTCCACAGAATCCTTTCATTCATCACAGATCGTTTCACGCATCTTCTTTTTAAAGTATTTAAAATCTGTGTTTGGATGGCAGATCCTGGTGAGTGCAGCCTTCTGAACGCTTCAAACCCATTCAGTCACACAGAGATGATTTCGCACAGTGTGTACTAACTGTTTTACAGCGTGTGTGTGTTAGTTATTAACACACACATGCTGTAAAATCCCAGAGTTTGCTGGATGTGCGCATGGCATGAGCTGTCATATTAGGGGCTGGGCCGAACTGATCCTTTTCTTGCATAATCTGCTGGGACTGGATTAACAAAACGGCTGGTCATGATGGATGTGTGTGTGTGTGTGTGTGTGTGTGTGTGTGTTTGTGTGTGTGTCTCCACTTCTTGCTGCTCACTCACATTTCCCCCCCTCAGACCTCTAAACACATTGCTCCATCTCAAGGTCCCCCTGTCCCACTGGGACTGATGGTGCCTGAAGCGGGGCAGCTTAGCCGGGAATAAAAAGTCTGCCTTGATTTGTCACATTAACAACGGATGGGATAATTAAACACTCGTGCAGTTTTCATGTTCCTGCAACAACTTCGCCCACTGCAAAGTTAATTCAGCGTATCCCCAGTTGTTCTCTAATGACTAAGTGTGGAGTTTTAATAGACCACATGGTGCACTTGCTATTGATTTTTCTCACGCATTTAAGCTGCATGCTTGTTGCAGGCTCAGCTATGAATTATTTTAACTCATTTTTATGTCGGCTTTTGATCCATTTTGGCCTGTACAGTTGTTTTTAGGTAACATCATAGTCAAAAACACCTTTGTGTTACCATCGCTCAACGGGCCTGATCGGATGGAGTCAGCATTTCTCTTTCAGAAATTAAATATTTGTTTTCAGTTGTGAATCTACCCAAATTGCAAACATAATCTAGAAGAACTATCCCTAAAGTAAAAATTTGAAAATGAAAGTAGCCGCCTTGTGAAGATCTCCTAGTGCCCGTGACATGCATATCCATGAAATACAAAAGTCAAGGAAAATATGTTCTTATTTCAGAAACTTGGCATAATACACATGATTTTAACCGTTATGTCACATAATTGGCATATTTTCTTTTGAAATAGCCTATCTGCCACAGACTTCCGATTCGAGCACTTCCGCATTCTTTAGCCACGCACCGGTCTTCCAGTTCGCAGGCAACACTGTGTTAGCAAAAGATTTTTTCACTCGACAACAACTCAGTGTTCTCCACAGTACAGAATTAGCATATTGCATGTACCAACATTAACACAGGACACGTACAGGTCCAGCCAAGTGGGGAAAAAAATCACKCCAAAGTGGATTAAAGCCATAAAAACAAAGGAAAGACGTTCGTGTTTATGGTTCCAGAAATTAGCCTTTTTCGCTATTCCTTGGCTGTTTGTTCTGCGAATATTTCATGTAGAGCTGTGACACTTATATTGTTGGAAAGAGCAGAGTCTGGGCTTTAAATTGATGGGCTACTTGTATGGTTTGGATCGTTTTCTCCAATGTTGGTGAACTGAAAACGTAATGATTATCAGGCGGTGGTTCTGCGGCTCTTGGTACTCGTGTTTTGTCTACTCTGTAATATACACTCTAACAAGTTTTTACTTTTGCATAAAACTCATGACAAAGGTACCTAAAAAAATTCATACTCTGTATAACACAAATGCGCGCACACACACACACCTACCTTGTACCGGCTGCTGTGTTAGCTTCCTGCTAGCTGTCGTCTGGAGGTGGTCTTTCGTCTCCTGTCTTGGCAGTGAAGGGGGATAATCGTACATTTCCCTTTTGTAACCTCCGTCTTCTCATTTCTGACTCTGGCTCTTGAATATCCCCAGGTTAGAAATGCTGATTATAAACGCGAGTGTGAGATTTTATAGCTAAGTTTTCCCTGTAATGCTATGATCCACAGCTGTCACCTTTCCTCCTCTTTGAGAGGAAAATGTAGAAAAACTAACTACTCTATTGCTTAAATAAACTTAAAAATATATATATTCCCATGGCATTTAGAGGTTGAAATGACAATAAATTGTCTTTTAAAACAGCACGTGTTTTATGAGGGGGTCCCTGGAATTTTTTTCACCCTTGTAAGGGGTCCCCAGACTCAAAAGGTTTGAGAACCCCTGCTCTTTTGTACCTGCTGGTTAGTGGACACAACGGCACACAACAGAACTCAYRTTTTATACCAGTGGCTCACAGATGCTTTAACTTTTGTGAYTTTTTCACARACTAGTACTAGCAGCTAACGCTAAAAACAAAGGCAGTAAGCAGGAAGTGGAAGRGATGTGCGTGGCAGGAATTTTAACGGAAATACGTCATCAATGGCTGTGGCATATAGGCTAATGACTCAGCTAAAGTGAAACAGGAAGTGACATCAAAGGGGAACTCTTTAASAAAGAGAGCTCCCTGGTTTTTCTTTATTGAAACAAAGTCTGTGTTGTTAGCCATAGTAGCACTGCTCTGTTTGCATTCAGACATTCCCCTTTGACATCACTTCCTGTTACTTCACATGCAAATATCTCAACAACCGTTCATCTTAGCAGCGTGAAATCTTTTTTGCAGTATGTTATCAATGTTATCTTTCCAAAAAGACATTTATATTTATTACAAAAAATTGATGTCACGGGCACTTTAATCTGTTTGCGCTCAGATTATATGTTGGGGAAAACCCTCGGCTACTACCACACTACATTTTACGTCAACATATTTCAAACTGACTGAGTTARATCATATAAATGTTTGTGTTTGCTACAACTGATTAGCATTGACCGTTATCTTGAAATGGGTCAACTTTCAAACAAAGACCTTCCTATAGTTTGAGTGACCCTCTGCTACTACCACACCACATTTTAGCTCAGTAGCTGGAAAATTAACTATATTATAGCCTATGTAGTAGTAGTATCCTTTATTTAAACAGGACATTTACTCATTGATATTTAAAACCTCTTTTCTAAGAGTGACCTGGCCAAGATAGCAGCAAAAAATATATATAGTATTGTATATATCTGTTTATTTAATATTGCTTAGCTGTGGCATCCACCTTGAAGTGCGTTGATTTCAAAAGATAATCAGTTATTTCTACGTATAATTATCAGTTTCTGCGGATTTTATTGAAACAGCTCTTTGGTTCACAACATTATTTAGGAGACAAACTCAACATGCACACAAAGGCAGTTATGATGATCCAGGCAAAAATAATCTAGAGTCAGACTGACACACCTAAAGGCTCGTRGGAAAATGGCATCAGCACCAGCCTGACATCTGATAGAATTGTCTTTCCTCACACTTCTGACTCSCTCCTGCACCTTTGCTGTCTGCCCGGACAAAAACTGTCTGTAACGTTTCTCTGGAAGAGAAGCAGGTGTCTGCGTTGCTCTGAGTGCTTCTTATGTAATGTGCTTTAGCCTTCTGCCACTAAGCAAACAAATCCAACAGTGTACCAATGGCTGACTGATGCCATAAAACTACAGTCACACTAATAGACTAAAGTGAGAAAGACTTTTCAGTGTTGCTGTTAAAAGTGCCCTCAACAAATAACCACCAAATGCCCCCTTATTGATGTATTTTATTTCCAGACTTCAGTGTAATCACGACTTCATGTGGGAGGCAGTGAGAGAAAGACAACATAAAGAGAGGAACGAGCGAGAAGGAATCTCAAAATAGACCCATGATTATAAAAGAATTTTAAATGTTAGTCCGGATACCAGCACTAGAACAAAACACACAAACATTATTTCCTCTCAGTCATATTCTCTCCACAGTTTCAGTCTTCAGTTTCATAACAGTTTCCACATCCATCTGGAGCATTTGTTTACCAAAGTCAGGTGTGTGACATCCTCTGACAATACAACACCCCTGCTGTGAAATGAAAATTGAAATTCACTGCCATCAAATCTCTCTTCCCCCCACCCCTCCCCCCATCTCTTTGCAAATAAACCAGACCGTTCGTCACGGCTTCCCCTATCAGCCATCGGCTATGGCGTTTGACCCCGTGCAGAAGATCCTGGCCGTCGGCACTCAGAGCGGGGCGCTCAGATTGTATCCTTTCAGTTCTTCTTAAGTTGTAAGAATCGGTGGCAGATCTGTTTGGAGGCAAAAGCAGGTAAGTCAACATGGGCTACAAGATATTAGTAAAACATTCACTTACAGTAATATTTAACATCACGTTTATTCTCACAACAGCCTCCATGTCAGGGTCGACCTGCGGCACAGGCAGTATAGGCAAAGGCTATGGGCGCTGTCCATCTGGGGGCGTCACATATGGGGGACAAAAAAAGTTCTATAACATTTTATCAGTCAGGGTTTGTGTCTATTTTCTGTTAATATTTTCTCCTTGTGTTTTCTCTGCTGATTCCAGTGTTTTTCCATTTTGTGTCSTCTGTCAATTTTTTGCCTTAGCCCCGCCCTCACTCACCTGTTCATGTGTCTCCTCCAGGTGTTTCTCGTTTAACCCTCATTAGATGGTTTTCAGTGTTCTACCTTTGTAAAATACTGACTATGTTGTTTTATTAATTCCCAAGAATTTAGTAAAATGCTCTTGAAATGGCTGGAAAATGTAGTTTTGAGTAAATATTTTACACTTTTTTCCGGGGGAGTATACGCTAAGATCCCCCCAAGAACTGCTTGAGTCCACAGCTGCTCATTAACATGAACAGATGTTCCTTCATTCTGTCAGCAGATGTTGGCAGGTATGAGGGATTGACCAAAMTATCACAGATTTTTAGTTTGTTCAGAGTTATTAAATGTTTTGCTACATTTTGGATGCATTCAGCTCCACGACTTGGGCAACAATTCTGATCCTGAAACTCTTTAAAAGACTGATGGTTGCAACAATGGCTTAGTAATAAATTATGTGGGCACAATTGTTTATTTGTTGACTTTTAGAGCCTTTAAATTTCTGAACTAGGTATGAATCAATGTTTATCAAACATTGAAAATGACACAAAAGAATCTGTTATTCTTGAAGCAAAATAAAAAGAAAAAAACTTAGATGTGGTGCAAGAATATTGTTGGTAAGCTGGTTTGATTCCTGAGTATTTTTAGACCGTGTTGAGGCGTATTGAAGGTTCAGCCTTAGTGTTATGGAGCACTTGTGTTTGAGAGTCTCATTTTTGGAAAAATTATTTTTGTTTTGTCTATATTYAAGCCCAACTTGCAGACGCAATCACACAACAAGCTAATGAGATCCRCTCTGGAACTCCTGACTCCATCATCGCAGCTGCTTTCACAGACATCGCTGCCTTGTTTTGCCGTACCCTTCCTCACATATTTCAAGTTGCTAAAAAAATAGAGTCTCCCGGTAAAGGACGAGCCGAAACGACCTGCCACAAATCAGCACAAGTGGGTTCTTTTCTCGGCCGCCTCGCAATATGAAGACGTTGGCAGAAACAGGGACAGCAGCTTGCTATGAAATGTCACCGCAGGGAGCCGTATAGCTTCAGAGGACGCCTGCGAAGCCTGCTTGTGTGGGGCTGTTTTTACAGGTCCTCCATGTGTTCTGCTGCCTGTCCAACAACCTTTGCCAGCTCATTACACTGTGATGAAGAGCCGTCCTCTTAGTTGTCTCTCTTCCCCACCTGCTGGCAGCCATGCCTGTGACTCAGTCTTCACCTGTGCAATAAAAGGGAGAACTTTAAAGCAGACGCTTGCCGGCAGTCAGGAACCAATTTATCCTGATTTACTTAACAAAACAAATAAAGCGTGATCAAATCTAATAAGGCATTCTTCAACAGAATGCATATTATGAGTTTTAGACTAGGATCATATATTGAGAAGTGATGGATTATAGCTAGTTTGGTCAAACTTTGTAAATAAAATTCGATGTTGTATTGCAAGATATTGCAAAATCTTGGTCCTACCAGTTAATGTTGGTGATTCTCAGCTGTTACCATATCAGATTTGAGACCTGTGCATTTGACTGATTTGTGTAAATTTGATGTTGTTTATCTGTGGTGGACATCTTGAATTAAGTTGATTCCAAAAGTTCATTGTGGATGTACATTTAAAGGGGCAATATTATGTGTTTCTCAGGCATACATTTAAATACTATACCATAATAGAGTATCTATGTCACCTTTAGCTGTTATTAAAATGCTGTTTTTATGTTTATATAGAAAATAAACTTATCTTCTCATCACTTCCTCTTCTAAATACCTTGAAATTGGCCCCTGTCTCTTTAAGAACCACCTTCAGATTCTGTCTCGCCCATTTCGGTGCGCGGGGGAGGGGTCGCACTCATGAGATGGGGGGTGCGCTATGATGCAGTTTACTTGGCATCTGAAAATACATTTCCTCAAAGGTGTTTTTAATCTGAAAAGAGCTTCACTGAGTGAGAACTATTAGCAGACAGTTTCACTTTCACTTTCACCCGAGAGCATGCAGGAGATATGGGCGGGATTTGTGGGGAGTGGGGAGGCGCTCCGCCACGAGGAAGTTCAGCTTAAAGACACGTCCCAGAGACGTTTCTGGTACCAAAAGGCGTTTCTGGTCCCCACCTGTCGTTTTGCTCCTCAGCATGTCTTCCTAAAAACACTGCAGGATTTCTCAAACATGCATGGATGAGTCAAAGCAAGGCTTTGGGCATGTTTTTTATGAGAGTATAACATTATAACATGATATAAAACTAAAAAAAGTTGATTTCACATGATATTGCCCCTTTAATGATCACTTTCTGAAAGTTCCATTATCATCTGCCCAACAGTTTAACGAGCTACAGACATTATTTTAATAAGTTCAATTGATTGTAGTGGTCATTTTAAATTGGGTTGATTTTGAACGTTAATTTGTTTTAAATATATCTTATGTCCAATGATATTTTGAGAGTTTTATTAGAATTAATTCAAGGTTCATAGATGTTTTGCTAAAAAGACAGAAATGAGCAAAAACACTGTTATCATGACAAACCTAACAATAACCACATGTTCTAGAGGTTTAAAAATTCACAACGCAGCTAAAACCATAACCCATCCAGAGCAGACTGCACATATTAGTAGACAGTAGGGTTGGGCATAATCGTATCGTGTGCAATTAATCGTCAGAAAAACATTAATCGATTATTTTTTGGCACTTGACAATTAATACGATTAATGTCACCAGGCAGATTGACTAGATATTTCCCCGGTCAGTCCACTCGGTGCTCCTCTCCGCTTCAAATATAACGAACATAAAAAAAATAAAATCTGAAATTTATTTATCTAGCAACACAATTTAAAATTTGATGTATAGCCCGAATGTATAGCCTGTCCGTAATTTTGACAGTTTGGAACAGATTTTTATGAAGAGCAAATCTTTCCAACTAARTTAGTCATGTGACCAGGACATAAGGGTGTCCAGGGACTCCAGGGGATTAATCGTCAAATTAATCATTATCGGCTAAATACCACAATTAATCGTGATTTATTTTTTTGCCAATATCGCCCAACCCTAGTAGTCAGGAGATGAAATCCCTCCTCTGATAGAAGCTCAGTGTTCGTGCCTCTGCAGGAACTGAAACACTCGAGCTTAATGGGGCTTATCTTTTACTTGCTGCTACGTCTCGAATAAAAAAAAAAGGCTGCAACCAAGAAGGCCGTCAACCACAATCGGCTTAGAGATCAAAAATGCATTCTTTCTCAAAATCAGCGTCAGTTTCCTGCCAGCTGAAAGTGGTCACTTTGAATTTGAGCGAACAGAGGAACGTCTCGCGTTCCAACCGTTTTTATCGGAGACGGGTGAAGGTGAGCTGGGAGTCATCTATCTGTTCTGCGAYGCCGCTTCTCCTCCTCGGCGCTCGGTCTTTATCTGATGACGGAGATATCATCACGGCGCGGATGACGGAGGCACGAGAGAGGTTTAATCACTTGTAAATTTGACATTGCTGATCTGCTGCGTTTGGTTTTGGCCTTGTGGGCAACTTCTATGAGCGTTATGGGATGTTTGTGTTGATACACATCATGTTTTTATTTATTTATTTGCTTGCCTGGATGGCCTGCCAGGGCATTTGGTTGGACTCTTCTCTCCCTCGGAGGGTTTAGAGGAAGTGGCAGATCAAGGGTCTTAGTCTGGCAGTGCAGCAGAGGACTGAGAATTACAGCAGCAGCCAGTGTGTACCCTCTGAGGACATGTCTGATCCCTCTAGCCAAAACCAAACAAACAAACAAAAAAACTATCAGTTTAGTGATTTCCTCCCATATGTTTCAGCTGCTGGGACACTGACGATGAACGCTTGCTGCTGTCTGGAGGAGAGGAGAGAAATAGAGACAATGAAGAGCAGAAGACCAAAAAGACGAAGGAGAGTAAATAGGGAAAAGATAGGAAAGGCTAGGGGAGGCAGGCTATCCCTTTTTCAAGAGCTAATGGCCAAGAATAGAATCTTTATTGATCTGTGTGTGGTAATGCACTGAGTCAGATAGGCCCAAGTGCATACACACACTTTATCTCTCTCTTTCTCTCGCACACATACACACACACACACAAACAGGCAATTGTTTTCTGCACAATATAACTGCGGTAAAAAGAAGTCATGAGTCTGAGAAAACAGGTTTTGCTACACAAGCAGCATATTAGCTGTTGTCAAAGTTAGCTGTGTAATTTCAACAGCAAGCAGGAAGGTTGCGCGCTTAAAAGTCACAGGAGTGTTTGAGTTAAGATGAGAAGGGACGATTTCAAAGGAAACTAGACACTTTAAAAAAAATCCATCTTAATTTCTTGTACAAAGGTATGTGTGCTACAAAGCAAATTTGTCACATTTAGGCTTTTTGTGTTAGCCGGCTCAACTAAATCTAAAACTACAATTGTAGATAACTAGTTGTATGACGTTGTTATGATCTTTTTTTAACTCGGGGTATTCAAAAGAAAGCTGGTGCGTTTAGCACAGACAAAAAGGACAATAGCGCCAAGGACACGTGGCATCATCTTGTGCTACAGACAATTTTTAAAGGGGCAATATTATGTGTTTCTCAGGCATACATTTAAATCATATACTGAAGAAATTTTGTAACCGATTAATTGAATGTTAGATTCAGTTTTGTATTTTATACTTTCTGATCATTTCAGCTTTA